TATCAACTACTGAATAATAATAAAATACTTTTCTAATTAAAAAAATAACCTACAAAAGATAATCTTCCACGTTTCCTAATCCAATAGTACTACTAATAAATATAATAAAAATTTTCCAAATCTTCATCCAACGTCCGGAGCTTGACTCGGACTTGGAAATCCTCATGCGCAATAAATTTCTGAGTCTTCTAGGTTTGAAACCAGGTCCGATCGTGCCACCACCAAATTAACTCTTAACATGCTGGAAAATTGCTCCTTTTAATCACATTTTACTTATTTAACTACAATTAGCATCATTAATCAAATATAAGTAGAATCTATCAATTAATACAATATTTGGCTAAAATCAAGGGAAAATAATCATAAATTGAATAGCAATTTTGCACTCTATCAATTTATCCCAAACCGAGATCATGCTTGTCCTCAAGCATGAGAACAGCCAATTAAGCAATTGAGCTCAAATAACAACTATCGTTTAAATCACCCATTGTTAAGATACAATTAAACACGTGTCAAGTATTAGTGGCTAAATTCCAAGAAATATCTCTCCGATTAGCTTTAAAAATCAAGATCTCTTCCAATTCCTGATTAACTAATCTAAGGACATAAAATATTCAACCAACATTTGTTAGCAAATGGTTCGACTATTAAGCAAAATCTTAACATTAAACCCATTGATCAACAGGCTAATACAACAAGTAACATATTCTCATATTCGCATACACTCTCTCTATTTTTTTTTTCAAAGATGTTCCTATACTTAAGCCTCTTTTTTTCTCCTAATTTTTTTCAGGAGAAATGTTTAGTCCTTAACCATTCAAGTCCTTTGATGCGAATTCCAATATCTACTAAATGAAGGAGTTTGGTTACTCAACTCTCATCGTTTAAGAGCCATATACTCATAGCTATTGCCACTTCTTGACGCGAAAGTCAACACTTTTGGTGAAAATCCCCGATTATTAGATAGCGATAACTAGCAGAGTATAGCCAAATACGATTTACAAATAAGTATCAAAATAAAAATCAAAGACACATAAACCCGCTTCACTTCTCAAACATGAAGAGTTGAGATTAATAGCTGAACCAATTTAAATGAAAAATGTCAGAAAAATATTTACAATACTTAAAAGAGTTAATCGAAAATTGCAAAAGTCACAAATTCTCAAATTTTCAAATGACCTTACCATGTCATACTTAATATATTAGCACATAAAATTTTTGTAATTGTACAATTTGAGACAACTAGCCATTGTTTATTAAGAATAACCACAAAAATACACAAAGACATGGCAAAAATTAGATAAAATTTAAAAAAATTGAACAGAAAATTCCAGCAAAAATGTCTACACTGGCACTTTTTCATATACTACCCCTCCACATCTAAACCTTACATTGTCTCCAATGCAAGAAATAAAGAGTAATAGAAAAGGAAAAAGAGACAACGAAACTTTCCTAATCAACGAGAGGGAGCATGGCAGCTATAGGTGAGGGCAAAAGAAGGAGTACAATAGATGGAATGGACACAGCGCTAACCACAAATGGCAAAGGCGAGTAGTGGCGATGACATTCGAACTCGGAGACAACTTCTGAATGGCGACAGCAAGGAGTGCTCAATCTGGAATGCAAGAGGGAGAGGAAAAAATGAAAAGAAAGAAAGAGATGAAGGAAAAAGAAAGAAAAGAAAAGAGAGAGAATAGTTAGGGTTTCGGTTTTTTTTTTCCTCCCCTTTTATTAGAGCAAGACATGGGCATGTCTTGTTGCTTTGTAGTCTTCTGATCTTGGAGTTAAAATTTGCACGAGGGTCAACGTGCCCTCAAGACGTGAGCACATCTTGTTGTCTAGTTGTCTTTTGAAATTTCTGAAATTGAAACATGAGCTCTCCAATCAGTTAGGCATGGGCACGCCTTTGTCGGGAGGAAGTTTTTTGACCATTGAAACATCAAAAGCGAAAATTAAATACACCAAATATAAAAAATCTAAGATAAACATAATAAAACTAATAATAAAAATGAATTAAAAAGTGAATTGGGTTGCCTCCCAATAAGCATCTTTTTAATATTTTTTACTAGACATTGCCATGTTTGTTCAAGGAGGATAAAATCTCATAGCTCGTTTCAGTGTTTCATTCTCCATATAATCCTGATAACGCTCATAAATAGAGTGATCCTTAAAACTATGAATTACTTTCTTCCATTGACTAGTAGATGGCATCAAACAAGCAAACAATAACCGAAATTCTTTACTCACTCCTCCATCACGAGTAATTACCAATTCAAAATATTTGACCATAGCAACTCCTAACTTATTCGTGCCATGAAATTCAGAAGCTTCTAATATAACAATATCAATCTCACTAACAGAAAGTACAGAATAAGAGTTAGGAGAATGTTGGTTAGGAAAAGGAGGAGGTGTCACCATAATTGGGAATTGTTCACTAGATTCATTTACTTGAACGACTCGAGGTTGCGATTTCATTTCTTTCTCTTCAACTTCCTTTTCAACTGCATCTTTAGATCCTTCTTCTTAAGACTCTTGCAATTCCATATCACTTGTCAGGATAATTGCACTCTCATCTTCCTTAAGGTCGATAATGATCTGTGAGGGTTATTCTTCACAAATTGGAGAAATCAATTGACTCACTGTAAATGCCAATTGACACATTCCATCCTCCATCCTTCTAATTCTCATATGTGTCTCCTGTTGAAATCGATATGTATTAGCAGTTAGTAATTCTATAATTTTCTTCAGAGATATATCTGACGTGGATAATGGTTGTTGCTGTCGATATTGATGTTAAAACCTATTAGCCCTACTGCATAATTAAATAGGAATTAGGATTTGTTTAAAATATCGAATTGAGTTCGAACTTGTAGATATTTGACTTGTTAAGGCTCGATTTGATTCGAAAATTTTATTTCAATATTTGTTAATATTTTATATAAATTATGTAATTATATTTTATATATAGATATTATATATGTATCAGTGATAATTTAATATTAAACATTGAAGAATTAAATTGAATTGAGCTTGAACTTAGATTTTGAACTGGTAAGGATTCGAATTTGAATTGGAGTTCGATTCCAAAATTTCGAATCGAGCTCGAACTGTGAAAAGTTCGATTCGATTTGATTCATTTACAACTCTAGTTGTAAGGAGTTGGTTTTTTTTTTTGAGAATAAAATTGCATTAAGCAAGAAAGGAAGATGAAAATAAACACATGCAAGGGCTCCATGTATAATTTGTTTTGATTGCTAGTGAATTTATGGTAATTCAGACTTGGATAAAGTAATTTCTGCATAACTTTCTATATAGAAAGACAATAACAACAAGCAAGATTTTTGGATGAAGGGTCAAGCAATTATCATTACTTGAGAAATATGTGAAACTAAAATGACAAATTTTTTTGTCAGTTTCACAATTGATAAACGGACTAAAAAAATACATTTTTAAAATTTTGTTAGTTTTAGTCTCCACTACACATAGTTCTAAAGGAGATATAACACCATGAATTTTCCCATCAATTATGACAATTGATGAAGATTCCTTCCCAAAAATTTCAATTTTTCGACCACTTGATAGAATAAAACAATCTAATATGGCATTCATCGAGATCATATTAAGCAGTTGGCTGTTGTGTGTGAAGAAAGATCTTTAATAAGGCAGTTCCTTGGGAGATTTGTCTTCACATATTTATTTTTCTTTTTCTATTGCGAACATCAAAACTCAAGAGAATGACAAGTTCCCATTGTTGATATATACTTTACCCACACCTGGAAGGGACAAACTTAAACAAATGAGGACTTTTGCCTACCAATTTCCTCTTACTTCCAAATTTACCTTGTTTGGATTGCAATTTTTTTTCAAAAAATTTGTAGTTTGTAAATGGATTTTTTAATCATCTTTTCACTTCATATACGTCAAATCGTTACAATATATTTTTCTACAAAAAATTCACAAAATTGCAATCCAATGTTGTCAATGGTAGTTTCAACTAAGATAGCCACATTAAACACATGTTAATCATCAGTGCAGGAAAATTTAAGTACTGTCATCCTTCTATATATGTGAATTTGTTTTGTCAGCAGTCAGCACGCACACATGGTACTCCTGATAAGCAAACGGGTAAACTCATTGTTTGGATAAGAATTTATTTGAATGATTTATTTGGTTTAGTTACTGTAGCACATTGTGTGATGTGATGTATATGAGATAAAAGGTAATTGGGAATTGTGTGTATGATGCAAGCAAACAAAATCTGAAATTTTTACCTCAAATTCTTGTGTGCCAAACAAACATGTGTTTTCCAGAAAGATCATTCGCTTCAGTGGGAGACTCTGATTATAGCCAAAAGGAGTATATATCGTGGATTTAAAGGTCACAAAACCAAAAAAGAAAAAAAAAATAGGATTTCTAATTGAATTACTCATTCACCATAGGTTTCACCTTATCTGAGAATCTGGCAAGAAATTACAGAGGTCCCTTGTCGTCCACATGAGAGGTGCCAAAATTTTTTTGTTATGATAGAATTCATTATTAATTAATTATTCATGGTGTAAAAACATACACGAAACCCAGTGTTCTAAATTTTTTTTTTTTTTTTAAAGTAAAGTTAAAAGTGCTTTCTAAAATCAAAGAACTAATAAATTTGACAGCATGTGTTTGGCAGAAAACTGTTATACTAATAAATCAAAGAACTCTGGTCGAGTACTAGATTAGACAAGTATAGGAGAATTTTAACTTGTGCAGTAAAGAAGAATGATTGCCTTTGACTTTTAGAGCTGCAGACAATTTTCTCAGCAAATATAGCAAGTTTTCCAGAGGAAGAGGACAATGTACTCATATTCTAGTGATGATTGTAAACCTGCTAATGCTGATATTTTCACAAAAACGTGTAGAATTAGAAATTAAGCCAAATTTACCCTTTTGGGTTAGCGAAGTTCTGCTAACTCCCATGTCTATATCAGATTTTGTCTTTTTCACAACTTCAGTCTTTTGGTTTTTACATGTGAGAAAATACATAATATGGCAACAGTCACAATGGATAAAACGATATGCCACAAATTTCGGTACACTAGAATTACATTACACAGACATGGACATTATTTGACGAGCAAGACCAGGATCGTTGAGCAGCTCTCTCAGGTTGTTCTCCACCTCTGCTATCTGCTTTTCTAAGTATTCCTTGGATTTCTGTCCAGTGGCCAATAAAAAACAATTAGTCGGTTACCAGACATACGATTTAAAATTTTTGTCTTGGTTCTTTGCTAAAATGTTTCGTGAAGATCGATTACAATCACCATGGATCAGCTTACCAGAATAAAGCATACAACACCTATTAGTGAATGCACAGATAAGTACCATGGACTAAAGTTGAAAATCTGTACGCCCATAAGGATCTACATTATAAACCTATATGGATGTAACTCAACCATAGCGGAAGCTTAGGTACCTAGCCGGTAATAATCCAGTTCAGCAACATGGATATGTCAAAGAGAATATTTACTAAAGTGCAAAAGTAATCTCTTAAAAGTCAACCCTTCCGCACTCTTTAAGTGGGAGATGATGGGAGACTGCTTCAGCTTCAAGGCTGCTCTGCATATCTAACATTCTTAAGTTGTAGCTAATGTTCTTAGTTAGCGGTAGGAGGAGGACAGTAGAGAACAACAAAGCCAACTGGAAATCAGTGTTAAATGGGGAGTTGACCAGCATGTGCATTTATGCTTAAAGAGTAACCAGTTGAGTTTTCACAGGAATGCATCCTTCTGGATGTACTTTTGCAGGGTCCTCCTCCCTATTTGGGGCAAATTTGGTTCATCATTAAATCAAAATACCTTACCTAAAAAATGGCCATATTATAGGTTTCAGCATAAGTCGCAATTTCATCATCACAAGAAAATATAAGCAGGTAATATCGATAAGAACCGCTTGGCATGGTCATTTTAAAAAAAATAAAGCAAAAAATAAAGCAGAAAAGAAAAGACAACCTCTAATGCTGATATTGCAGCTTCACTATCCTTGAGCTTTTGCTCTTGTTCATCCATTAAAACTGATTTGGGCTCCAATACAAACCTGGTGATAGTGATTTGGCAGGAAGAAAACAGAAAAGTTTCAGAGACTAAGATGATGAAAGAAAACAAAATTATGTAAAACAAGTTGCATCTATCCGTTGAAGCTCAAAAAACAAGGACAATAGAGATCCATCCAACTGAAAGAACATCCGGAGTAAATGAACTCACGTTCTCCCTGCAGAATTCAAAAAAATAATAATAATTTAGAAAGCAGAAAAGGATAAAATTCAAGATCCACAAAGATTTAATAATTTCAAATTTTATAACTTTCTTTGAAATATATATTTTAGTCATCTATAACAAACTTTATTTAGGACAAATTTAACTTAAATCTTCATTAGACATGAGAGTGCAAATACTTAAAAAGGAATCAGACCCTCCTCTAAGTGAATTAAAATTGGTTGGTATTTATATACATGGTTAAACCATCTTATCCAAGAGCCAAAAGCACGTGCACCACCATTCTTTGTCCTTACTTATTCTTCCTAATAAGCTTGCTTTCTTTTCTGAAACAATATAATAAACTAGCACTACCAGGTAGCATGAATTGAGAATCACCAACCTGTACAGTGAATGTAGTGAAATGTAACAAAAGTACAGCACTAAAAGAAGAAAAGAAAATCACCAAAATATTCTACCATAGGTGTTTCAGCATTTATTCATTGGGAAATTTAGTTCAATTATCGAACCTATGGATTTGTATGTATTAGTATCGTCCAACAATTGACGCAGTTCCTCCAAGGTCAAATATGCACGCTTCTTTTCCCTTCTTTACTTCTTATCTGATTCTGAAACTAAGTAAAAGAAAACAAGAGAAAGAACATCACTTTACTGGTGTACACAAGTTTAGTGACATTCAAAAGAATATCTTTAACCCAGAAAAGATTATAAAATCAGAATGAAGGGAGTAAAACATTAAAATGGACATGAAAAGGGGTCAACACATACAAGGGCCTATATTCGACCATCTCATTACATCCAAATCTTACGCTAAATTATGTTCCAAATCAGACAAGCACACTGAGAAAAATCTAAAACGAAGTGAATTACATAAACTATCAAAGTAAACACCCTTTTAATTTCAAAGACAAAGAAAAAAACTTTGCCTTGGAAAAAAGTTCCTTCTTGCTGGACCAGTAAAGGTAAAGCCAAAGACGGACAAGAAGGCAGTGTTGGGATTCTATCCGGTCTGCGTTCTCGATTGAAGCTCATGCTTTAAACAGATGCTATTATTCAAATTAAACAAAAACAACTGAAAGTCTGAAACCCAGAAAATTTAATCAACATTAGGCATTCTCAAACCCAGTTAACCATTAAATCCAATTCAGTACATTTACCGAACATATGGTAGACAAGATCAACCATTAAACTTCTGCAGCTGCAGAATTAAAAATTCTGGGCTGGGCAATAACAGTCAAAAAGGGCTAGCATCTCAAGTTCAAACTAACAAAATTTACTAAAACATCAACCTTAATTGGTCAAATACCTGCTTCAACTTTGCTGTACTTTCAATCATGCGGCTCTGGATCTCAAGAAAAGCCTATTTCACCATAGGAACAGAAAGAATGTCAGAGATTACAGCAAATTTTATGTGAAGCAAAGTCTTGTAAACAAAAAAGAAAATGGGACAATTAATCACCTTTCTGTTTGCTTCATCTGCCATTTTGCTTCGAGCTCTGAATCTCTCTGCTCCGGATTCAATGGAGACTTTTGGTTCTGGAAAACTGAAGCCCGGAATTAGAACCCCACCCAATCGAAAGGAAGATTCTTGGAACTATGGCATTTGGGCACAGGTACTTGGGCTGGTCCATGAGCTATGGGCCTCAATTTCAAAATGAGATCTTGACTCGTGGGCTATAGCAGTTGTATAAGAGGACGTGGCCTCATTCCTTTTTCTCCGGTCTCTTCATCCTTTGTCCATACACAATCCCGTTGTTTAAACAATGCTTTGTTTGCGTCACCAAATTCATTATCGAAAGTAAAATCTTACTCTAACTATTTACGAACCAATAAAAAATGGTTTACTTTCTGATTTTTTAGGAGTTTTTATATTTATATCTATCGTTTAGACATATCACATTTTTAAAATCTATTAGTGCAGCTGAACTTAGCCAAAATAGTTATTTAACTAATAAAAAAGTGTTTTTAGTGATTCAACTAATTAAAAAAAAACTTTCACTTTTAATCACTTAATTAGTGAATATACACGCTTTTCGGTCACAAAAATTGTGGATTAGTTTGGTCAATGACCATTTTGACTAAGGGTGTGTTTAATAAAACTGAAATCTGAATCCATTAAATTATTAAATTGTTAAGTATTAAATCTAATACATTTGAGTAAATATCACATTCAGTGATAAATGATTAGTTTATCACTTAATTTTGGGAGCAAGTTTTGCCTAGAAAATTCAGTATCACTTAATTAATTCAAATGTTCAATTTGTGGTTATCAAACATCTGAATATATTAAGATCTGAATCCATTAAATTTAAGTACCGAATTGGGTTATCAAACAAGGGTTAAGTGAAAATTTTAGTTGCTAGAATGAGAAATTCTAGATAGTAAAGGGACAATTTGTACCATCTGCATTTACTATAATGAAAGATTATTCTTGTATATATTGTCCTTTAAAATTTCTAAAATCACGATAACTTTTCCGTATTCAAATCAGAAATTTCATTTTTTGCACATGTCGTAAATTTAAGCATACTAGTATCGATAATATTTCACAACGTTAGTATAGCAAATATTCGTACAATTACTAATGAAGTGATAATTTTTTTCAACCTTCTCTTAATTTCTCATATATACGAGTTCTAATATGTAGATTCCACTAAATTGATTGACATCTTGGGGAGTCTAAGAGGCAGTTTTTCAAAGTTTTTTGTAGCAACAAATTAAGCTTAGATGGTATCAAGAATGTGCTTAATGAGTTGTATTTGTTAACAAGAATACTCTTTTGAGTCTTAAGATGTTAATAGAGCAAACGAACAAAAAGGACTACCATGGAATAGCTTCACTCTATTTATAGCTATTTATCTGATCATAGGCTACCCTACCACTGCAAATTAAAACCATAAAAGTGCCTATCAAGACAAGCAATATGATCGTGAGGTAGTTACTTTGGGTTTAAAGTTCATGGGGAGCTCTTCCTGTCACCAATTGGCTGGATGGAGTTTCTCTGTGGGTCCCCCTTAGACTGTTCTTGTGGGCCGATTTTAGCGATGTCTTCTGCGTCGTTTGAGCTTAGTGGTGTGTGTGCGTTTTCTCTAACATTTGTGAAAGAAAAAACCGGACTTCTGGCCAGGGTGTGCGCGGGAGGGGATGGGTGCACCATCCCACATCGAAAGATCGTGGGGTAGTTATTCTGGGTTTAAGGTCCATGGGGAGCCCTTCTTGTCACCAATTGACCGGATGGGGTTTCTCTGTGAGTCCCCCTTAGATTGTTCTTGTGGGTCGATTTAGCGATGCCTTCTGCGTCGTTTGAGCTTAGTGGTGTGTGCGCGTTTTCTCTAACATTTGTGAAAGACTAAAAAAAAGACAACCAATATGATCACTTCATTTAGTTTCCAAATTCCACCCAACATTTTAGAATTCAACTTTTCAAAACCGTTGACCCTAAGAAGGAAGTAAGCAATGTTAATCCAAAAAGGAAAGTTATGTCAATTGAAATGCTAGAAGCATTCAACTTATACGAGTATTAGCTTTTCAAAAATCAATGAAAAGTAAGCAAGCGAACAGAATGGTGGTAGGTCTACGGTTCTGCCTGCATGAGATCTGTACGTGCTTAAAAACCGCGTGTTCTAGGTACGACTTATGTCCGAATTTCAGGAGTTGCTCATCCAACATATTTATTAATGAAAAAAGACAACAGGTCAATGGCAAAACTAATTTAATTAAGCCAAGTTTGCGTTAGTTAGCGGTTGCGGTGATTTATAAAGAAATACTTCTGATACAAATTTTTTTAACAAAAATATTTTTAAATTATCAAAAATTAGATTCTTTGAGTTACGAAAATTATTTAGCAAATACTTTAGGAGTTTTTTTTTTTTTTTTGGTAAATGCACCGCAACCCCAAACCTGCCTTAATCTACCAAAAAAGGAACAAAATCGTTTAAAACTAGCTTAACCAAAAAACATATAAGCCTTTACACGTAAATTATTTTATGTTTTATAGAGCATATGTATTGTGTATACTCAAATTTAGGGCCTTTTTAATTGTCACTCCAATTGCACCAGGCAATACAATATATAATATAATAGATGTAGCCACAACAGAAAAAAAAAATGCAGCTAATTTTATTATTCAATGAAAATTAAATCTTGCAGCCAATTTTACTCATTCAATTTCAAATAAATTCCATCTGAAATAATAATAATAATAATAATAATAATAATAATAATAATAAAAAGTTGAAGATCTAGAAGATCTGAAATAATGAATTATGTCTCACCATCAATTTATTTGCTTTGCGTTTGACCCAAAAAAAATCAATTTATTTGCTTTGAACCGTGTGGTACTACTTCTGAAGCGCGTGGTCAAATAAGAATTAATAAGTCAAATAATGCAGACAAAGGAACAAAATTGGAAATCAAGAACCAACAGCTCAGAGGCTTAAAGCCTTAAAGGTGAGCGGGTGACTGCTGCGTCTTTTTCTTAGATTCCCATTTTATCCTACAACTTCTGTGATTTCTCGAAATTAGCAACAGAATATTCATTTCCATGGCAACTTTTAGCTAATGCCTTGCTGTTTCAATTATGATAGTACTAGTATTTGTTGCCAATGAAAAGCTTGTGGTATTTAATGAAGTGTATATGTAACAGGGATTAGTGAAATGGATTAATATTTTATATACTGACAGTGTATATATTTTTATCATTGGATGCATGATATATAAGTCGAATTTAAATTTGAAATTCAAATATTACATATGTGTCATGCCTTCATTTTCTTGATAGTGTTTACACTGTCAGTGTATAACAGATTTATTCTAGTGAATTACTATTTGTAGCATGTACTATGCCTTATCCCACATTTTCAAGTGAAATGTTAAGTTGACGTGAGCTCGTGCATCAAGCCATCAAGCGACAATGGTTTGGTGAATCTCCTTATGGATGAGCAATGATACCTCAAATTTGTTGTACCAAATTTGTTTCTTGACGATAAAGAATTGCAGTGTGAAAATGACAAAGAGAATTCCTCTTGCCAAAGGAAAGAATTGAAAAAAAAAGAAGAGAAAACAGAAATTTAAAGGAATGTGCCCCAATGAAAAAATAAAGAATGAGAAGAGAAACGAAATGCCAAAATGTCAAATATGCAATTAATCAAAGATGGTAAAAGATGGCACCAACCCTCAATGATGCAATAATGCCCGCTATAGTGATCAATGATTGCTTAATGAAACTACTTGCATCGCTGCAAGATTTAAGCAAGTAGGAAAAGTAGTCATCAAAAAGCTATAATGACCCTTATCAAGTCAATTTATGAAGCTAGCTGATTTGACTTGAGAAGGATCATATTGGTGCTTTCCAAAAATTTTTTGGTATTAAAAATGCTGTCAATAATGCCAAAGCTAAAGCCTTTCATGCATGTAGTTTGCTGGAGCTGGACATAAAAGGGTCCAAATATGAATCTCAAATGACTTACTATTTGGTATCGAAATTTGGAGATCCGGATAATAACTAATCTATGAAATTTGGAATTTATCAATTGATAAATTAATAGATACCAAGTAAACTAGATAGAAGTTCGTATAAGTTCAACATAAATGATAATTAAATCATTGTCAATTCAATAATTGGCTCATTAAATAGAAAATTCAAACCAATAATGAATTCTAAAATACTCTGTTTGGATTCCTCAATTTTTTAAAAACAAGTTTTTCATATACAATGTTACAATAATACACAAATAAAATAACTCCAAAACATTATATCCATACAATATATAAAAAACAACTCCAAATATTAAAAAAAAAAAAAGAAAAATACACCACCATTGCCACCACCAAAAACACACTACCATCCGCCGCCCAGTCTCCCTCTCGATCTCCTCTCCTCCTTCTTCCTCCTCTCTTTCTTCCCATCCCTTTTCTGCTCTTTTTCCTACTCCCTCTTCCTCCCTTCTCCACGTCTCTCTCGCTGCCCCCCGCCCCTCTCCCTCTCTCTGGTCGCTGGCCATGGCGACTAGACTAGGTCTGGTCGAGACTCGCGACCAGATTTGGTCATGGGCAGGCACCATTTTCTGATCACGACCTGCAACCAGAGAGGGGGAGAGGGAGGGGGTGGTGGGAGAGGGTGGGAGGGAGGGGTAGTGGTGAGTGGTTGTAAGATTTATAAATTCTTATTAAAATTTAAAATATCCCAAAATATATTTTCAAAAATGCCCCAAAACACCATTAAAAATATTTACAGTAAAAATTTTTACCTACATTGTTACAGTAAAATATTTAAAAATATCCCAAAAAATAGCTAATCCAAATGAAAACTAGTTTTTACGACAACATGAAAGAATATAATAGGAAATGAGGGGTGTGAGATTTATCACTTGGAGGCAGTAGAGAAAAAAGATGAGAACAAAAAGTATGATCATTTTCTAATCTTATCTATTTATACATGAATAGCACAGTGCTCTGGTTGCAATTAATCAAGAGAGGATTGGGTTGAGTTGAATGGTAAGATGAAAGGGTTGGGTTGAGTTGGGGTGGTAAGATGGAACGGATTCTAAGTAAGAGATGTTAATTTAAGTTCTCTCACTATATAAAAAAAAATTGTTACAATTAATCATTTTTAAAATATTATCGCAAATATGTTCATTTCAGCCCAAATAACCTAATCTATGTTCATCTTGACATTAGATAAAAGTTGCAAATAAAGATCAAATCCATATACAAACCATAAGGTTCAAAATGGGGAATCAAGCGTGGTATCACAAGGACAAATAAAAGTCTACAATCTTATTTTGAGGTTTGCAAAACGATCAAATGCATAATTCCAATTTGTGTTATATTGCTTGGTTTTTTAAATCTTTAAGACACAGCTACAAAGTAAAGCAATAGTAATCAAAATATATCTTCACAATCCTTCTGTTTCAAAACCAAATAAATGGTATGTTACTGCGATACTACCACAAGTATTAAGTACTATTATGATTATATGATAGATTAAGCTTACAAAAGAAGGAGAATATCAATACATATCGATTTCTAAAATTTTCATGTATCACAAACTGAGAAACTGAGAAGTGTATCCACTATATATATGCATGCAAATGTGCCAAATGACGATAATTAGCGACAACAATTTGTGGCAAGTAATCCAAGGATTACTATTGAAACACATATCCTTCATTAAAAAAAAAATGCTTAAACTAAACTTGATGTCTTTGGTTCTCCGTCAAGAATGATACATATATCCTTCACTGAAAAAACTAAAAGATGCTTAAAGAGCACCTGACCAGACTTCTTGGTTCTCCGGGAAGAATGATATTTCTGTAAATACAATAAACTTGTTGGGCATTGTTGTTGGGTCATGTATGACCAAATCTGACCATTCAGGAGACCTGCCATTGCATTTGGCATTTAGTTCCAAGCCATCTTTTGCACTGAGTATTACTACAGTATGCAAATAATAGCAAGATTTCATTGTAACATATGTATCCTTGAATTATTATCAATTTATACTTCATGCCATAATTTATCAATCATGGTAGTTTAGTGCCTTATGCTATCAATTTGTTAAATACTACTCAAAGTCATCAAAATTATAAATTTTTGTAGCTATTTTCAAAATGAATTTACTTTTGCACTACCTAAATTAGTTTTACTAAAATACCCTTTGGTCCAAGGTAATCATTTCAATAAATAATAGTTATTAAGATTGAGAATTATTAATGACAATTTCTTATATATTGGTGACACCCTATTAACTTCTTTTCTAGCCATGTTAACCATGCAACAATCCTTATTATTTGTTGTACTCACAACTATATCCTTGTACTAACACAGAAAGTCAAATAAACATCTTTATATTAGATGAGTAAAAAATTCAAGATCTGCCACTAATAAAGATTGGTGTGTCAAACTATAATGTTCCAAATTAACCATACTTCCAACTAGTTGTTTAATGTGCAATAAATTAGAGGTGAGGATTAGATGGATTTATCGAATTTCCACCCATGTATTAAATTTGGTTAATTGAATTTGGTGAATTTGATTTCAGTGGCTTCGATTTCAATTTGATTTTTGTTTTAGATCCTCAATTTTGATTTAAACCAAAAAATGATTTCATTTTTTCATTTTTCATATATAATATCTTTATTGTTTATTCTTTATTTTTTATGTCTTGAGATTTATATTCTCTATGTCAAACCTTAGAACTTATTACGGTTATATAAATTCATATACATATTGACTACTAATTATTGACTATCTCATCAGTTATGAATAATTATAATAACACCTTTCTAATAATCAAAATAAAATAATATAGTCTAGCATAATATATAAAGTAGTATTAATGCCTAATACTTAATTTTTTTGATGCTTAATCCATAGGGTATACAATTTATATAGATGCAATCCACTTCTTTATAGTTTATGAATAATAACTTTTTCTTAGTTTTAAAATATTAGTAAATCATATGATATACGTTTTTTTAGATATTAACAACAAACCCATTTTTGTAGTTTGGTACCAAATATGAAACTGGCTGAAACAGTTAATCGATTATTGAAATTGATTTTCAATTTTAATTCAATTTGATTTTAATTTGGCAAAAATAAAATTGATTAAATTTTGGTCGCAAATTCAAATGGATAAAAATGGGAAACTGATTCAGTCTAATGGATTCACAATTTTACCAACCGATTCTCACTCCTACAACAATTCAATTTGATGTTACGGCACTACATTGCTACAATTAATAGCTTTTGGCGCAAAGTTTAAGTAAGTGATAGTTTAGAGGTGTCTTTTGCAATTAGCCATTATAATAATACTTCAAAGCAATTACATTAAAATTAAAAAAGAAAAATCATAAGTTTGAAAGACAATCAGAAGACCCTTCTGCAAAATAGACTATCTGCAAAATACTTCTTAGACTTTTAGTAGTCTATTTTGCTCTTATTTTCCTCTCTCTTGTGATGAATCCTTTCTTCTTTTAGCCAAATTAGTCTGGTTTTTTTGGCTGTCCCTTCTCAGATTTGGGACATTGAAGTAGTGTCTAAGGCTTATTTGATGACAAACGATAATGAAATGATATATCACTGAAAAACGAGAGAAGTGTTTACCTTGTCTCTTGGGCATAAAAATCTTATCTTTCTGTGGATTTGATGTGATATTATGACCAGTAAATAGAGGTGAAATGTGAGTCTTTTCCTGAAATCAGATAAATGGGGTCTTGCTTTAGTGTAGAAGAGGAGATTCAGCAGCCACAGAATAAGGGTTAGTGCAATTTTTGCTTATCTTCGCCTCTATTCAATCTTCTTGTGGTAGTGGTCTCTGCATCTTTTTTTCATTACGGTGGGGCAGTCGTTGTTGCTTTTCTTTTGGCTGGAAATTTGTGTGGTTTAGGCCTTTGTTATCTTTTACTTCAATCAAGAAGCAGGTTATTGTGTAGGAATTGGATTTTTGCATCTAGTAAAGTTGGAATACTTCAAGGTTGCAAGTACAATGTATGGAAGTGAGGCTTTATTCACTTGGTTAATTATGTGAATACAAATTTGGGGTGTCAATATTTGCAAGGTTTCAAGTGAAGAAAGATTAAATCATCATTCTTAGTCAAGAAATTATCCATTTTTTAGAGATTTTTTTTTGGGTTTTTTTGGGGGTGGCAATTGAACCAGCATTTACTAGTATCCCGCCTCAACTATCTCCTCTATAAAACCATTTTGATGATATAAAATATGGTCCGATCTTGTCTTCCATTTGATGCATGTAGAGGCAGAGAGAGTTTCTAGTGTAAAGTTAAATATCTAACTGAAAGAAATTATTAAGATCACTTCAGATCAAGAATGCACGGAAGTAGACATGTTTATGGTGAATGTTTCTTTTCTGCGAGTAGATGCACAGATATTTGTTTTATAGAGACTGTCTGATAACTACCGTGAGTAGCTTATTGCCTGACTTCTGTTAAAAACCTTTCAGTTGCCCATGGAATTGCTGCATTTCCTGGACAAGCACATTCTCAGCTTTCCAACAAGGCAAATGCACCACAAACCAGTAGCACTGAAGGTGCAAAAAGTGTTGTCATAGTTTCAAAAGATGTCAACGATCTGCGTCAAAATCCCGTGAATAGTAATCTTGACTTGTTTACGTATGAAGAGATGAAGTTAGCTACCAAGCATTTCCGACCAGATCAAGTTCTTGGTGAGGGTGGGTTTGGCATAGTTTATAAGGGAGTTATAGACGGGAATGTGAGGCCTGGTTACAAAACCACCCGTGTTGCCATTAAAGAGCTTGATCCTGAAGGTCTGCAGGGTGACAGAGAATGGCTGGTAATTTGCTCTGACTTGCCTTTGTTTAATGAAATCATTTATACTTGAGATACTCATATTCTGATTATGCTTTGTAGGTGGTAAGAAAATGAATTCTTTGTTTATGTGGTGGAAGCATGTGGTACAAATATAAGAAGCTATAGTAAACATCCATGGTTGCAGTTCTCAATTTCCTTTTCTGTTATTACCAGTTATGTGCCTCAAATGGACATAGTTAGGGTTGAATATGAAGTATCTGGCAGTCTGCAATTGGAATCATACATTAGAACACATCTTAAACTACTTAAAACTCACCCAGTGGGCCAAGGCCACTCAAGGAGCAGGTCTGAGCAAACTCAATGTTGAAAGTTTGCTTCTCCATCTACGAGATTCTGACTTTGGTATTCTCTTGGATAATTTCCTAAATAATTTATGCTAAACCCCTTGAGACTTAACTTCTTTTTACAATCTAATATGTCTGGAGGGTTAGTGTTTAATTTGCTTATCTATCCATGAGTCTCTGACTTTGTTTTTCTGTTGGATAATTTCCTTAAATGGTTTATGCTAAATTCCCCTTGAGACTTGAACTTCTTTTTCCAATCTGAAATGTGCGGAGGCTTAAGGGTTTAATACTGGAATATCTGGCCTTCATTGAGTGTTGAGCAAATTTCTTGGAGATCTTGGAATAGGTATGAACAATAAGTATTATCTGCTGACAAAGAAATTTGCATAAATCTGGATGCACAAAGTCAAGCCAAAATTGATGCTAACATGGTAATCGGAATAGGAAAGCAGAAAAGTTAGCTTCAGGTAAGGAACTTAGTTACAGGAACTGTCCTTTCCCTTCTCAATTTCCTGGTTGTCCGGAAATGAAGCAGCTAAACTGTGTTGGTGTGTTTAGCTTCATTTGATAAGTTGTCCTTGTGCCCCTTCTTTAGTATTCATTGTATAATCCTCCCCTTCCTCCTTCCTCCTCCTCTGGGCATGGTGGTCTGTTTGTTGACCACTAAGTTATGAATGTCTTTCTATAACAGAAGGCTTATTTATTTTTTGTTTTGTAGTTACTCGAGTGGTGCATCTCTTGTAAAGCAAAAATGTAGTCATTCTGTGACACCATTTTGATTGCTTCCTTGCAGGCAGAAGTGAACTACTTGGGGCAACTTTGTCACCCTAACCTGGTGAAGCTCATTGGATATTGCTGTGACGATGACCATCGGCTGTTGGTTTATGAATACATGGCTTCTGGAAGCCTGGAGAAACACCTTTTCCCAAGTAAGTAGTTGCCTTTATGATTTGTTTGTATTCAGCAGAATGATTACTCTGTACTGGCCTCTTGGTGATCATGTCATAAGGGGCTATACATTTGTGGAGTGCTCAAATGAGAGACTTCTGATGCCTTGTATTTCAAACCAAATTATGGGGTTGGTTTGTTTTTTTATGGCTCTGGCTCATTTAGAAAGGGATTTTCTGGTGCTATATTTTCCATATTGTTAAGAAACAATAAATGAAAAGGATGCTGCAGAAATCTGAACATTCAAAAAATAAATAGATGTTTCCTTTCTTCGTCTCATTATTTTTGTTATCTTTTTAGTCTGCTGTACATCTTCTATTTTATTCCCTAGCAAACTGTCTATTTGACTTAAAGATGAATTCATTTTATGATATTATTTGATGTTCAACTTTGTTGATGAAATGGTTGTATCAGCTGGGTGTGTTTGTGTTTTTTTTGTTAGGAGTCTGTTCTACACTAACATGGTCAAGGAGAATGAAGATCGCTTTAGATGCTGCAAAAGGGCTTGCTTTTCTTCATAGTGCAGAAAGGCAAATTATTTATCGAGATTTCAAGACTTCTAATATTTTGCTGGATGCGGTTAGTAGGCATTTCCTGTACACCATAATTTAGGAAGAAAAGTTTCCGTCTTGATGCATTTCATTTTTAGCTCTTCTTTTGGATACTTGGACTTTCTAGCCAATCATCGATTACCAAAGCCAGAAATTCCCTTTCCATTGAAAATTCCTTTTACTTAGCTTTTTGTGCAGTGCAGAGATAAGCACCTCTAAATCCTTCTTAGATTCCAAAATCACAATGCTGTTTTAGTTATTTGTCTTTTTTATTCTTTTTCAACAAAGCATTCATCTAACATTTTACATGATTAATACATTTGGATTAGACTGAAAAAGGATTACGTTAAAAGTAGCGATTTTTGGGGTGTAATGAAATTAAATTTAAACTTGTTATTTAGTGAAAACATGGAAAAGATGAAAAAGGAATTGTTTTAGATGTCTTCTTCACTACACTGGCTAATGGCCCAATTTGAACTTACAGGATTTCAATGCAAAGCTTTCTGACTTTGGACTTGCAAAGGATGGGCCTATGGGAGATCAAACACATGTATCAACCCGAGTCATGGGTACCTACGGCTATGCAGCTCCTGAGTATGTCATGACTGGTGAGAATAGTAATGTAAAATTGCAGGAGTAATGTTGTTTGTCAAAATTGATCTTTTTATATTTTGTTAAACAGAGAAATATAATTTACTATCCTATAGAATGTACAGTTTAGCGTTTTGCATGTCAGGAACTTTGTATACGTGTTGATTTCATAGAAAGAATAGAGCTAATTGTAGTTCTTTCTGTTGGTTGATGCTTGGCATAGATCAACTTCCCCTCTGGCCTTTCCTTTTTTCTTCTTGATTGTATTTGGACCATTAATTGTGGATCACTATTTTGATAATCATTCTTGCTAGAGATTTTCTTGGTGCAATTTTAGGTCATATTCTTGTGTAATTATAAGTTGTGTAATTATAAGTTGGTCTTCACGGTTTCCTGATTCTGGAGTTGGGGACATGTAAATGCGCTTCACTTTGAGGTTATCTAACTTACATGGTAGAATCCTCTGAAGGGATAGCTTGTCATTGCCAAGCCTCCATCGCAATTTCAAAGAGGGAGGGTCACCCTTCCAATTGGTTGATGGAGAAGGAAAATAAGTGCTCTTGATGACAATATAAGGGTTTAAATAATGACTAGGATAATAAGAACAGCAATAACAATGGTAGCAGTACCTAGTTATTTTAATCATAATCATAACCATTTTCTGAGTATGGGATTGCGTAAAACTGGTGGAATTATATTTAAAATTGAAGTCCTGTAGATATCTTTTCCATCTTTTCTTACCTTAGTTGTGAGTACATGCTATGGGGGTAAAAAATTGTCATAATCTTCTTTTATCAGCTGTATGTGCCATGGATCATTCTTCCACACCTTTGTCATTTAGATCCTTTTTAATAATAACTTAAAATTTTGTTGCCATTATTCAACTGTACAGGACATTTAACCGCAAGAAGTGATGTTTATGGCTTTGGGGTCGTCTTGCTTGAGATGCTTATTGGAAGGAGAGCAATGGATAAGAGTAGGCCTAGCCGGGAGCATAACCTTGTGGAGTGGGCTCGCCCACTTCTTAACAGCAGCAAGAAGCTTTTGAAAATACTGGACCCTCGAATGGAAGGGCAATACTCTACTAAAGTCGCCGTAAAGGTGGCAGTTCTTGCATATCAATGTCTTAGCCAAAACCCGAGAGGGAGGCCTGTCATGAGCCAAGTGGTCGAATTACTGGAAGGCTTTCAAACTCAAACTGGAAGTCGAGAGGAGGAAATGCTTCAGAGTGGAGGTGGAAGTGTAACCCTTTATGAAGTCCCGAGAGGAATGCCTGACAGTCCGGCCACAGAGCAGAAAAACCAGCTGAAAAGTGAGAGTCAAAGAGATGTCAGGCCTCCAAAAAAAGCAAACAAACAAATGGAAGGAGCAGAAGTGAGCCTCCGAAGGAGTGCGATCTTTACAGTTCTTTCCGAGATGCTGGACTAGGTGAGAGAAAAATTTTCTGAAGATTGACCATAAAGATGAATATGCATCTCATGAAGTTACTTGCCTAGTGTACCATGTTGGAAATCTCTTGTTTCTATTAGACAATTGTAGGAACTTTTAGGTATTGGAAGAGACATCAATTTTTTCGTGTATACAGCTTGAGTTTTTGGTACGTCTGTTTTATGTGCAATTTGGACTATGGAGCAGCTCAACCATAATGTGCTTGTGATTTATATTTAAAAAAATTAGTCTCTAGACACAACGATTTGTTTCATGCGAAATAGAAGGGAAGAAAAACATGTCATGAGGAAATATTAAGGGACTGAAATTCATTTCAAGCTCTATTTTATGCTAAAAATTGTTTAATTGAAGAAACTAATACCCCTGAGGAATTGAGGAACAAAAATCTTGACTAAACTGTTAGCTGCTTAAAGCATCTTTGTTTGGTACGTGAAAGAGACAAATGAACAAATAGTCATACTCCAACGCTCGGTCGTTCTCACTTGCACCTAATTCCATGCCCCCTTCTCTCTCTCTCTCTGTTGCGATTTCTTTAGATTTCAAGGGAAATTAGGACTTATTCTCTTCGCTATTCCGATAACAAAACGGTAAGGGTGGAATTTGTCATTTTCTTAGTACGGTGGAATGAAAGGCAAGTTATGATGATTTTTTCCCCCAACATCCCTCTTCGGAGCAATGGATTATGGTGGAAATTCAACATTTTCCAGCAGTATTCATACGGATCTTATGTTGGGCCCAAGGGAAAAATTCACTTTTTGTCCCTAAATTTTGAGTTAGAACACATTTCGTTCTCAAACTTTTAGACGCCCACATTTAATACATGAATTAATTATTTTTTGTCACATTTAATCCAAAAAGTAAATTGCTTAATGGATGGAGAAAGTCACATGTTTAGCACATGACTGTTAAGTAAAAATAATTTCTCAGTCAAAATCAACGCCACATCAACTTTCTCCGTCCAAATTGAATATTTTAGATTTTTGGACTAAATGTGGTCCAAAATAATTAATTCATGTACTATATGTGATGCATTTAAAAATTTGAGAATGAAATGTGTCCCTAATCAAAATTTAAAGACAAAAGTGAATTTTTCCCGTCGGCCGCACACAAGGAAAACAAAAGTTGGTAGACTAGAAAGTGCAGTCTAACCATCCCTACGCCATTCAAATTGTATCAATGCTTGGGACACTGGAAATTAAGGATCTTTCTAGCAAACAAAGGCTTCCCCAAGCCAGTCCAGTAAGCAAGCACAAGTAGCAGTTTTATCAGGAAAGGGAAGCTAAATCAACTTATAATCAAGTTACATAGCAAATCAGCTTTTGGCTTGTCACCTTCCTCACATGGACATGGAGCATTGTAAATACACCAAGGGCATTTGCTTGCTAGGAGCATTTTCCTACACGAAAGAAGAAAAAACGAGTTAACTGTCATAGAAAAATCTGACACAATCATCATTGGAATATGGAAACCAAGCTTCCTCTCCTAAAGTCTTTTTGTTATCCTTGTTTCCAGGTTGCTTGTAAACTGGCTAATGATCATAAATTAAGAATTATACCAAGTAGTCTCACTAGCTGCTAGTGAATGCACCAAAGATGATTATTTATATACCAGGTAGACAACAAAAGGATGAGAAAGAGAAAAAAAAAAGTATAAAACGCTTAAAAAGTATAGGATAGAGAAATGAAGGCGCTGGAGTAAGGAAACTTCAATCTGTACTAACCTTAAATCAAATCCAATTAAAATAATTAGTACAAGTACAGAAATATTCAGAATTCAAAACTTTTAAAAAACCTAAGCCTTATTCATTGTAGGTTAAGAAAATTAAATAAAAAGTTCTCTGTATACCAGTCCCATGGCTTTCTTATATACCTCAACAGCCCCAAAGAGAAAACTCTCAAACGTAAACAGTTGATAGTATGGAATGTTTACTCATCTGACAAACTCTATTAACTATCTTCTTGGCATATAATTACTACACAACAATCTGTCATCCAACAATAGGAAGTAAAAAGAAATTATAACATAAACTGAAAGTAGAGACAGTTACAATTGACTTTTTAGGAAGAATTTGGATATTCAAAAGACATCTCACCCCACATTTGCTGCAATGTCATAGCTAGCTCTGTCACAAATCTCCTCTCAACTGGGTTAGAAAATTTCAAACCGGCAATTTGTTGAACAGCTAACAGGAAATCACGCCTTGCTTTTGAAGAAATAACAACGTAATTGGGTCCATGGATGGCAGTCAAGTCCACCACCTGAGGTCAAAAGAGTTTGTTCCAATCATCTTTTTATGTATACCAGCAGAACAAACTTGATCCATAATGGAAAGGCATCACTATCTAATGGACAGTTAAGAGTTGCTAATGATTCTTCTAAGATTTAACCTTAAATGTAATATGATGTGATGATTTTCATGTCATTCCTACATTGTCTACAGTGTTAACCCAGAGCTAGAAAGTTATCAATAAAGTAAAATACCAATCCTTTTGCATTTGAAAACTGTCCTTAGGAATCCATGAAACTCCTCCACCACCTCCCCATGAGCTGCAGTCAGACAACCCTATCCTCCCCCCCCCCCCCAACCCAAAGTGAAAAAATTAATTGTAGGCCAAGTAAAACCATTTATTTAACACACTTACCAGTTGAATATTGAGGTCTTCAAATGACAAAGTTTAAGTTTAGCATAGCCTACATTCCTCAAGTAAAGAATAATATTTAAAACTGTTTTCACATTAAAATCCTCATTTCTCAGTATGGCCACACAAGCAGACCCATAGTTTAGCACCTTATCTGTCAAGCCACTTTATAGGGTGAGTTTTACTATTGCTTTGAGATTGAAGGCAGCCATCAAACAACTTCTAGTGTGGGCACTAACTTACATAAATTGCGGCTTAGTCAAGAAAGAAACAAAGATACGAAATTTGTTGAACTTAAAGATACCACAGGGACTCCTCAAACAATTATCTAAACAAGAAAAGCAACTCTAAGTGTAATAAGTTTAGTACCAATTTATAAGGAAGATGAAGTCAAATTAAATAGTGCCAGAGCTTTTCTTTTCCTGGTATCATGACAAACTAAAGTGATGTCTTAGAAAATCTACATGATTCACAAAGCAGCATTGTTCAGAAAACCTTGAAACTGGTCATTAAAGCAGCATTTGCTTCACACACTTTGCTTCACACACTTCGCTTCTATCAATCTATGCAAGAAATGTGCTCTATCTTGTAATGGTCAGCTGAGATGGTACATAACAGTGGAGAAATGGTTTCTAATAATGCCAAGAGCTAGCAATGAGTTGAAATTTATCCTACTTAGTACCTAAGGCTTTATTCTATTCGTACCACAAATTCATCAGAGTAAATCATCTAATGCAACAACACAGGAAGGACACGATGAGAAAATGACAAGGGCCCTACAAAGGATAAAGGAAAACGAAGTGCTTAAGTCAATAAGAGAAGGAATCAAGAGCAACTTGCCTGCTGCAACCAAGGGAAAATGGAAGTTGCAAATTTTTTCTTTGATAAATATGATGCCAAAGTATTCAACAGGTCACAGGTTGTCTTCTCCGATAAATATTCCAGTACAGGACCTGTTCTATCAAGAAGCTCAAACAAAATAAGCTCACTCCCAGAGCAAAGAGCTTCTGCATATGCGGAGTCAAAATTTCCTTCAGACAGATAACCACTTACACCTCTCCACAGATTATCCTTTCCATCTGCACCGCGCTGTCTACTGTTCACAGCAGAAACTGAAGCAAAGACATTTTCAGCTTTTCTCATTTGGCCACCATGTCCATGGATGCCCTTTCCCACAGTACTTTTACTCAACTTTTGAGATGGATTAGTCCATATGTCTGCACCTTGTCTAGCAAAATTGCTTGATCTGCTCCTGGTAGATGCTTCTTCCTCCCAAGTATCCGCAGCTTTTGGTGGCAATGATGCAGACTGTCTATTGCATATATCCACAGATGGTCTGGGAATGCAAGTAGAGATTCTAGGAGAACAAGAATCTAAGTTTCTCTTCAAAAATGTGGCTGCAACTATACCTGTACTTCTTCCCCCATTGAAAAGCTCTTGTGTCATTCCTTCAATCACATCTTCAAGACTTGACACTTTCAACTGTATCATTGACAAACTATCCATAATGTTGGACGTGAAAACCTGAAAATGTTGAGTAACAAGACATATATCAGATGCACAGAGAAATTTCTTAAGTCCGAAAGTTAAAGCTATGGAACCATTTATATACACAGATTCAAGAAGAGAACTTTTAAGAGAAACAAGAGAATAATTAGGTCTTAGCTGCTTTAAGCAGGTAAAGCTAGCAATAATAAACTTGACTATTCTGTTTACTCAATTAAATTTCCCTTCCCTAAGTTCGTCAATCAGACACTTCTAAACACAATTTTGCCTTGTAGAGTAGTATTTGCTGAATTAAACATAATACTTTTTTGGTCCTGAAAATTATTACAAGTATTCTTTTTATTTTCAAAAGTTTATATAGATAGCATGTCCAGATGGCATGATAACTAACACAAGGAAGGAGGCTTGAACCATTTACAGTATTCAATAAATTGGAAAAGATTACCCTCAACGAATCCATCAGATCTGTTTGCTTATTTTCAATCCCAGAAGTTGTTTTCGAATGGATGCTATGTCATTTGCCGTTTTCGAGCAACAGCCATTCATTGTGGGAAAACTGGATTCAGTAACTGTGGAGTCCAAGCTATGACGATCCCGGATTTGGGACCTGCATCTTTTTTCTTCAGTGCTCATTTCTTCAGTTGTAAAAAGTGGACCTCTACCTGTTTTCTTTACAAGATTAACTTCATCAAGGACACTAGGACAAACTGTCAATGCTTTAGATTCAAAATTCTCGGGAAAATGAGCAGAGGCAGAAGAGCACTCCTGTTTGTCATCCGCATGCACATATTCATATTCCACATCCTGAGTACTTGTCCTACCACCACTTCTTTCACATGTCTTAGTAACACAACTACCCTCAGATTCTTCGTATTGAACATCTGACAAAGAAATGTTACGAGTCTTTGGAACTGCAATTTCTATACTCCAATCACCTGCTTTTGAATGCTGAGCCTTTTCAATAAGATTGTCCCCTGATTTTTTGAAAGAGAGAGGGACCCTTTTCTTGACTGAGTTTGTACCAATTCTCTTAATTCGAGCATCCTTGGGTGTAGAAGTACAGGCACTTGCATATCAGAATACTCGTCTCTATAGAAATTTTCTGCACAATGCAAATAACTGTTAGATGCTGTTACAATAATAACAAAGTCAACCATTATTTGGAGGAAAAAACAGCTAGGAACAGCTATCCGCTGGAAAGCAACTCGAAAGGGAACATTTTAAATTGCATTGCTCACAGGAAGTAACAATAATGGCACCATCTATAAGACCTTTAACTGAAGACCCAGCTTCTGATGGTTCTGGTGTATCACTTCCAGGAAGGTTTCTCCAGATTTGTAATGCCTGCAGTGCTGTGTCCCTGACTGGTTTAACCTAAACAACAAGGATGGATCACATAAAACTCCAACTAACTTTTCACACAATTGAAGCTCTTGGAGCATTAACTACTATGTGGTAACTACTTAGTCACAAGAAATTATTAACCTTGTCGAAGCGACATGATTCAAGACAATGCAAGCAAGAAGACTTGAAAGAGCCAAAGAATGCTCCACCATTGGAAGCAATATCACCTAATGCTGCAGAAGCAGCTTTTCGTGTTATCCAGTCACTATTCTTGAGAGCTTCTTGGATACTAGCAATGGCTGCAGATAACGAACTATGTGTGGAAGCACCACCAGCCTGAATGGTACACTAAAATCATTCAGATATATATGAATCAAATAGAAAATATAATACTCATGTTCCAAAAGTAATTATCAAGACATTAACACCCTTTCTCTTTTCCGTTTGGGTTGGGCTGGTTTTAAATTATAGTCAGTGTCCATAATGGGTCATTAAAAAAGAGATAGATGCTGATAGACAGCAGGAAAATTTTCACTTGGTCATTCAATCTGTAATGCTATTAGCCAAAATGAAAAAGTTCTTTATTTTTTTTTTCTGATTTTGAATCCACAAGTACTATAATGAAGCATTGAATAAAGAAAATAGACATGGAAAAATAACCTTGCAGTAAGAAATAAATAGACCTGAATGATACTTCTGTTCAGTTCTATGACAGCTGGTTTTGCCATGAAATGTGGGTTCTTGAGCAACTTAACAGTCCTTGCTAACATCTTCTGCAATATTGACACTGGGGGATCACTGATATTATCAATGACCCTTGCCAAACATAATGCCGAACCAGACTGTACTTGCTTATTCTGTTCACCCAACGCTTCAAATAGAGGCTTCACTAGAGCAACAAAAAGTCCATTATTTCCACCCTCATCACTACCAAACTTGGAAGCCAATACACCCATTGTATCCACACAAGCATCTCTCACCACAGTGTCTGAATCCTTGAGCCGTTTAACAATGCTAGCAACCATCTTCCCTAAGTAGGGCAATACTAGGCCTTCATAGTATGTTGCTAGTGAAGCCATGGATCGAATACATTCCTTACGAACTGCACTCTTTTGCACCGAATCAGTGTCCAATATGCAAGAGAAAAATGAGGAAAGCCCATCTGGGGTTAAGCATTCGATTGCCTTGTCGAGCTCTTCAATCCCAATTTGATAAGTATCCCTATCAGCAATCTTATTCAAGGCAAGAACCACGCGCTGTTTTAGCTCGAAAGCCGCCTGCTGACTACTCACCCTCGCAGTTCCTTTCCCTTTCACCATATTTATTTGTGTCTTCATCTCCTTAACCTCTATACTCCGAACCCATTTCAATCTTTCCGTCAAACCGCAGCTCTAAGCTGCAAAATCCCATCCATGCTTGTCCTTCAAGAACCAGAGCATCACTGTAATCACCAATGGTAAAAGAGTTTCTACAGACAAGTGATACATTGCTAAAATCTAACACCATTCTTCATGACAGTAAGATTTAACTACAGAAGGCTCCATTTAATCGTAACTAAACTTCCCTAGTCAAATTTCTGATGTTTCCACTTCATTTTCACTGTCTAAATACTCTCATTTCAATCAAATATAGGGAAAGAACCGTAAAAAGAAAAAAAAAAAAAAGTATCTAAAAAGAAAAATCTGAACTTTTTCGTGCAGCAATCACCAACACATTTTCCTCCAAGTATAGTGGAAGTACAAGTAGATTTAAAACAATAATGATAATTAAAAGGGGGAAAAACAAAAAAAAAAAGGGATAATTATATACCTGGACCTGGAGCTTCAAGATTAACGTCCACTGCAGAATTAGAACACAAATTTAAAAAAGATTAAATTCATTACTGAAATTAATCGGAAACCAAAAGCAGAAAAAAAAAACGTTGAAAACTTACAAGAGAAACCAAGCCCCTAAACTCAAATGAAGCATCGAAAAAGATGCATATATACGTTGAAAAGTGCATGCACCGCAGGCTTTGGAGTGCTAAAGTAGATTAATTAGTACTAAGTACCACTATATAATTTGCTTCGAAATTAACGCAGTCAACAGCCAACAGGCCTACTAATTATATATTATATATCTAAAAAGCTGCAAATTCAAAATTCAAAGTGAAGGCAATTAAATCAAGAATTATTACAATGATTACGAAATTAATTAACTAAATTGCGATTTCCTTCCGATACTTACATTCGATTCCATTAACTGGTACGGATAAAATTATACACTTTGAAAAAAAAAAAGATAAATAAATTATACACTATATTATCATTATTCTCTGAAAAGAGAAAAAGATTGTCGTCGTCTAAAGTCTAGAATCGAGAAGTTCGAGAGTACCTGGGTCAGTGCTCTGTGTGTGTGTGTGGGAGAGCGTGAATCTACTGTGTGAGTGTGTGTTTTAAAAGCGGTGAGAGGTTTGAGTTTTCGCGCTTCGGAAAAGGGATTCAAATCTTGGGGAGCGTTATGAGGTGGGACCCCATCCCCAAGGTTTTCTTATCAAAAAAAACTGGAAGAAGACAAAAAACTCGATTTGGGTGTATTTTAGAATGTTTTTAAAATATTTTACTATAGTAATGTAAGTGAAATTTTTTTACTGTTGATGAGATTTTTGAGCATGTTTTTGGTGTTTTTGAAATTATTTTTTTTGTGTTTTTGAGGTTATTTTTGGTATTTTTGTGATTATTTTTATTTGTGTATTACTGTAACATTGTATATTATTTTTCAAAAAATGACCAATCCAAATGCAGTTAAAATTTTTTTGTGCAACCAAATGCAATTGGTGTTTATTCTCAGGGGAAAAAGATGAATTTGTTTGGATTGCATTTTCTGGATTTTTTATTAAAAAAAAATTAATGTAACGATTTGATATATATGAGATAAAAATGTGACTAAAAAATGTATTCATGAAAAACGTAGCAATTTTTTTTGAAAAATTGCTTTCCAAGCAATTGGTGTTTACACTTTTGTAGTCCCTCACTTTTAAAATAATGTAATTTAAAATTAAAAAAAAATTATGTGTTTGTTTCTTCTTCAATTCTATCTGTAATTTAAAAAAAAAACTTTGGATTACAACTTAAAAAAAAAATCATTTTGTAGGATATCTTTTTTTAATCACTTGTTTATCTCACATACATATGTTACATCGTTACAATATATTTTTTTCAAAACTCTAGAATATAGTAATTCAAACGAATATTTGCTTTTGTGATTTGTTTTTGTCCTTTGTATGAGACAAAAATATATAAGCATTTTTTTTATTACAATGGTAGCATTAAGGACGAAGCAAGTGTGAATTTTTTTTTCAAAAATTCATTTTAACCTTAGTATAATTTGCCTTCAGATTTTATTCGGAAGTTAACCTTAAATTGATGGGTGATTTAAAAATATCATCATAATTTTATTTGAAAGTTTAACTATTCAGATTGACTGTTACATCTAACGAAAAATCCAAAAGTTTCACTTTGATTACAGCCATAAAGGCTTGAATCATATTGGAAAGATATCCAGCAGTTCGCCTTTTCCCATTGCAGAAACAGAGAGGGTTACTTCTTGATTGTTAGAAGTTCAGTTTCATTGGCAAGTTGTAATGCTTATCCTCTATACAAAGTTACAGTATGTGTATTTCTTTCAGTATATTTATAGAAATGGTAAAAATTACAATTGCTGTTGATGGCTTCAGAAATAGGGTAAGGATCATTGAATCAAGAAAATTAAAAATCCCTCCAGAAATTTTTCTGCAGAAAATCACAAACACATGTATATTAAATTTGGATTGTGATTTTCTGCAGAAAAATTTTTATATTTTCCACAAACACATCTTGCAATTACTTTTTTAGTTCATGTATATCAAATCACTACAATACATTTTTCTACAAAAAAATCTTAAAAATAGCAATCCAAACGATAATAATGGTAGTTCTTTACATGAAAACTTGTAAAAATGACTTTTTATAAAATTAAATTTTTTTTGTGTAAAAAGTAGGTTAAAGATGATGCTGGAAATTGGAAAAGCTGATATTCGAGTTTCCGCATTAAAATCTGGCATGAAATAAGTCACATCAACTCATCACAACAATTTATATTTTTAAAATTAGTGAAAGAAATGCAAAAAATAAAAATTATTAATAATTTATTGCACACTAGTATTCCAAAAAAGCCAATGAAACTTTATGAAAGCATTGATAAGTCCTAAAGTCTCCGAATTGGAGTCCTGCAGTACTTTTGTCTGACCTGCCGATGCAGAATCCTCAGGAGGAGTTGAAGGACAAGTGCAATAAACTTTTCCCACCATCTTGGACTAGAAAAGTTCAGCCAGGAAATGATTCCTAACCCTACACTAAATCCCAAGGCAGCACTAACGTACTCCCACTCAATCTCATTCCTGGAAGAGTCCCTCTCAGACTCGAATGATGCATTTATCCATGACAATCCATTGGCTTCTGACTTGTTGCAGCTTATGCTTAGGGGAAATCCGCAGAGACCTCTGTTTCCATAAAAGGAAGCATCTGTGAATGTTTGGAGTTGGCGGCCAACTGGGATTTCTCCTGACAACTGGTTAAGGACAGGTTCAAAAATGAAAGAAATGTAAGGCCTGCAAGCTTTACCGGAATCATCCCGGTTAGCTGGTTCATTGAGAGGTCTAATACACCAAGCTGAGTGCAGTTTCCGATTGATTCTTCTGGAATCATGCCAGTGAGGGAATTGTGAGATAAGTTGAGAATGTAAAGTTGTTTGAGTTCTCCAATTGTCATCGGTATCTGCCCGTGGAATTTATTGCCTGAGAAATCAATAACTTTGTACACTTCAGAATCTTAACAAGCTCGAGTTCAAGCCCTTTAATAGTCAGTGTCACAGCATCCTTGTAATATAAGTTACTGAGTTCCATGAAGCCAAATTGCAGGTACTTTGCTTCATTATCTTCCTCAGTCATCATTACTCTCCAATTGAAGAAGTGTTTTGGGGACAAAGCACCACTAAAGTTGTTGTGAGCAATGTCCAAAATTTGAAGACTTGTCCAACTGTGATTGTACCGAGGACAGACAGTTTCACCTTGAAACCTGTTGGATCGCAGAACAAGGACTAGCAAATCTGTTGCTTTCATCAACATGCATGGAAATGTGTCTTCCATTTTATTTTTCCCAACATTGAGAACTTGCAACTGTTTGCAATTTTGCAACGATCTTGGTATCTTCCCTTCAAGGGCATTCATCCTGAGGTCTAAGGTTCTTAGGCTACATTTGTCTGGGAATGCATTAGGAATCAGACCGTGAAGGTTATTTTCCCCTAGGTTTAATACCCCAAGAAACTCCATTCCTAGAAGACAAGCTGGTAATTTACCACTCAGGGCATTTTTAGACAAATCAAGAACTTCTATATAAGTTGCATTGCATATGGATTCAGGGATAGCTCCAGTGATGCTATTATTTGAAAGAGAAAGGAAAACAGCATAGGACAAGTAATCACCTATGTTGGGTGGAATAGATGGGTTAAAATTGTTGCTAGAGTAGTCTAGATATATGAATTGCAGCGGTGGAGTGGGTATTTCACCCCTGAGCTGATTGGCATGTAAGTCTAGCACAAGGAGAGCAGAAGGAATGGTGTACGGCTTTTGAATTTCTGCTAAAAGATTGAAAGAAAGGTTTAGCTGCTCAAGATATCCTCCTCCAACATCCCAAATCCAGTTTGGAATCTGCCCTGTGATATGGTTCAATGATAGGTCTAAATGATCGTTCGGATTGATTCTTTATTACATCAGGGAAAATTTTCAGATTACAAGAAGCCAACATCAGTACAGACAATTGTGGAAATGAGGATAAGCTTGTACCTGTATTGCTACTTGCATCTATTGACAAATTGTTGTAAGAAAGGTCAAGTTCAGAAAGATGAGGGAGCCCCTGGAACATTTCTAGACTTACAGTTCCACTAAAAGTGTTCCATGAAATTGATAGGACAGTAAGCCTTTTGAGTTCAAAAATGAACTTTGGAATGGATCCTCCAAGATAGTTGCTGCGAGATCCAGTACATCAAGTAAAGAGGAGCTAGCATTGGGAATTTCGTTCATCTGACCATCAAACTTGTTATTAGAAAGTGAGTTTGCAAGGACGGGAGAGTAAACAGAGACAAGGGAATGTTCCCTGTCAGGGAATTATACCCCAGTTAATGGATTCAAGATCTCTGAGATCTGCATATTGCGAAAGGAATAGGACCAGTAAAAGAATTATGGGACAGGTCTATATGCACGAGCTTTTGGACATCTGGAATGATGGAACAGAACCATTGAACTTGTTATATGACAAGTCAAGGTAGACCACATTTTCAAGATTCGACAAATTGGCAGGAATTGGTCCGCTGAAATTGGAAGTCCACAAATCTATCCTAGACAACGCTCGAAGGTTCCGATAGAGTCTGGTAAAGAACCTGAAAAGTTTGTCTCACTGAGGATGATCTCGGTGAAGGACCCCTGGTTGGGAAACTCTGGCAAACTTCCCCTGAGAAAGGGATTGTCTGACAACAATACACGCTGCAGTGTTGGTAACTGAAAAATCTCTCCGGAAATTTCCCGATTAAATTACAAGAGACAAGACTCAAAGAAGTCAAATTTGTGAAGCTTGAGAAGAATTGGGAACTACGGTTGAGAGATTGTTGTTATCGAGTGTGAGGGTGGTTAGCGAACTAAGATCAAGAAGGGAAGAGGTTATAGGACCTGAGAGGTGACAGCTAGTTAAAGTCAGAACTTGTAGCTTAGACAAAGATGAGAAAACATCGCACCACAGCTCCCTTCAGCTGAAATATTGACACCGTCAAGATAAAGTTCTCTCAGCTCGGTTAGATTGTTAAACACGCTTTTAAACCTCCCGGATATTCTTTATCTGTATTCTCCGGTCTGGTAAACGGTTGGAGAGATCAAGAGTAACCAAGCTCTTCATTCTCGACAAACCAAGTGGAATCTGCCCGGTGAAACCAGCAATTGACAAGTTTAGACACTTCAACCTTGTGAGGTTAGAAAGTTCCTCAGGATTTCGACAGAATCAAAGTTATTGTCGCCCAGATTTAGTCTCTCAAGATGTCGGAGAGTGAAAAGGCTTTTCCAATCTCATTTTTACTGATATTGTCTCATTATCTAGCTCCAGGCTGATAACATGGCCAACAACATCACATGCCACTCCACCCCAGCTGCAACAGTCACTACTCTGATTCCAGTGCACCAGCTTGTTCGAAAGTGTTGAATCGAACAGCAGGCCGTCCCTGAACTGAAGCAAAGTTAACCTTTGATCACTGAGACATATGCCAAAAGCACCAACAGTGATGATACATGTTAAGATTTGGGAAAAGAACATCAAGAAAAGCAATAAGAAAGGTGGCTTTGCCATTAGAAATTTTGTTAGTAGATGACAACTGAGAACTGTATGATTATTTCAATGGATTCAAGAATCATCAGGATTCAGGACAAAGCTACTGACCAAGTCAAACAACGACTTCTCCATGGTTTAAAGACTTGGTAAGAATTCTTATTCAGATAAGCAGTAGCAGTAGACAGCTCTAGTCCACAACTGAAATTGACTCCTACTCCTTTTCTAAAATTATATATCTTCATCTGTTAGTGCCAGTCTTTCTGTCTTTCCTACTTTTCCACTTATTAACTAGTCTATGCAATATACTTTTCGAAGTAGACTAAATTTGACCTTAAGACACTGCCATCTTTGCCCATATCAGAAGACATCATTTATGACTTGACGGAAAAATGATGATAGTTTTAGGGTTATAACTTTAAATTGATTGTAAAATACCTCTTGCCACCGAAAAAATAAAAAGATAGGGTAAAAAATCGGGTTAATTCCACTTTGTCCCCCCAAACTTTGGACGATTATCCATTTCAGTCCCTAAACTTCAAAATGGGACACTTAAGTCCCTAAACTTATAAATACCTCCCACTTAAGTCCCTAAATTTATAAAATGGGACACTTAAATCCTTAAACCCTGATAAAATGGGACACTTCGACCACCAACGGCATTTAGGATTTGTTAACAATTTTTCTTAAGTGGGAGGTATTTATAAGTTTAGGGACTTAAGTGTCCCATTCTGAAGTTTAAGGACTGAAGTGGATAATCGTCCAAAATTTGGGAGGACAAAGTGGTATTAACCCGAAAAAAATCTATCTCTTGAATGTAGTCGATGCACTTTGAAAATTGAGCTATATACACATTTGAATTGTTTCATGTCTCTAGGTGCTGCCCAAGTTAAACTTAATGTGATGCAAACAATTAAAGAATATAGATCATTTTTTTTAGAATATAATTATTTAGCTGGACAAATAAAATGTACCATCATAACTTTTTCCCGGTAGTTCTACATGAAAATTGTAATCCGATAAGATTTATTACAAGTTCTGAATGCAGATATTAACACGCAATTTAAGTTAGCCAATTCATTACACTCTAATTCTGAAAATTCCTTTTTACGTTATGCATTACAAGTATTTGTAAAAGCAAGACTTGATAAATAAATGTAAACTCATATTCTCTCCCAACAAATTAATCATAATAGGATGGGAAAAGGTGTAAAAGGGTGGAGAAACTTTATAAGAACAGTGAAAGAAATATTCCCTCCGTCTCATAAAGATACCCTCACTTCCATTTTCACATAGATTAAGAAGGGTAACTAATCCAATCATTTTTACTTACTATTTTCCTTATGTGCCCTTCTGTTAATACTCTCTCTATCCCATTTTGATAAGTTTGTTTTCTTTATTCATCCATTCCAAATATAGTCCATTTTCTAATTGAAAAATGTAATTAACTTGTAACTTATCTAAAATATCCTTATTCAATGTAGGTTATTATTAAGTATAACTTATTTAATGTAAAGCCAATTATTCATACTCCATTTAATGTAAGGGTATTTTAGAAAGATAATAAGTTAGATTAATTTTTCTAACAAAGTTAACTAACTTTTCTTAAACGGTGTGAAAAAACAAAGTCTTAACTATTTTTTTAGTATTGTATTTAATACTTCTAGTAGAATTGTTGATTAATAACATATTTGCTAATTAAGATGCACATTAATTATGGGTAAAATAGTAAATTCATACACCAACTACTCTTTGGAGATGGAAATAGACCTATAATTTGAAATAAGAATAAAAGAAAAGCGGGTCGAATTAGTGAACCAAAAATTGAACGTTCAGTACTCCTTTATGCATCATAGGAGAAGGAATGTTGAAAGAATTACTGAACCGGATGTCAAGGTTGTCATTTTTTAATTTTTAATTTTTTTCCTTTCTCCTTTCAAAATGATTGATAGTGTTATTTCTCTTTTTGAATGAATAAATGAAGAGCTTCTTCCTTCGCTTAACCAAAGTATGTGGACATTTTGTGATTAGTAGGTTTAAATTATATTTACCATGTCATTTTCCTCAGTTTAAGTGTAAAATGGAATCAAAACAACCAACCAACAGAAAACAAATAAGTATCTAATAAACACTAACCTTGTTTTGACAAGATAGATAACTCTCCCCCCAACCACCAGAAGGGAGCTGTTTGGACAAAAGGAAGTCACAGGCCTTGCGGATGGCAGAACAATTGTTGAAGTTCCTTCCAGACGCCACCAAACCTTGTACACCAAACCATAAGCCATAAGTAAAGCAAACTCCCCAAGAGCCATACCTGAGACAAAGAAAGAAGGACATGATATCAATTCTATAGAAGATATAGCCAAATGAAAATTTTGAATCTGAAAGTTAATGTAGCAAGAATATTATTGGAAATCAGAAACACGGACAAGATATGCATTGCTGCGATACAATTTCCAGGATTCACGCAACCCACAGACATATGCAGGGCATAAGGATGTAAACAGGCCCAAATCAAGCTAAACACACCACCTCCAGTATTACACTTCGATTTTTTACTTTTAACACCCTTCAAATTTTGGTCAACCTTGGCTTGATTATTAATCTAGCAAAGCTCAGATAAAATCTTATAATACGAAGCCCAAAAGAAGCTCGAGTAACTTCTTTTTAACACCCTTCTTTATTTATGCATAGAACTCAAGTTTATATTTACTAAGCCAAGCTTAAAACGATAAGGAACATGAACTCTTTTTCAGGTCTAATTTGAATGATTGATGAACCAATCTCAAACAAGCTCTTCTCGAGCCTAGCTCGATTAGAGCATCAAGTGGCTTGCTTAGGCTTTCAAACCTAGCACGCCAAGGGCGAGGCAGTGATAGGGCTAAAATGAAAAGGAAAAAAGAATATCAAGTCTTTCCTTCAAAAAGTATGAAGAGAGGCATTTGCAGCAATACTCACCAAGAGCCATCTGTTGCTTGTATCTCTTCGATAAACAAAGCAGCTCTCTCAATACAACGCTGTACTTCTTCTCTTCTATGCCCAGGGTATAATTTCTTAAATGCAGTCAGGGCTTGAATTGCTGCTGAGGTACATTCAACATAACTAGATATCCACCATAGTTCATAAATAATCATAAATCAGAATCAATCACCACCATGGCAAATACAAGCAATGAACTTTGTAAGCAAACTCATTGCATAGCAATCATCTAATCTATGGATAACTTAGTCTTTGTATCCACATATTATTAACAGAAATAAAAATACGTCAAGTTACACAATTAAAGCATGGGTGCAGAAATCTTACGGATAGTCAATGACTATGTCACCAAAAGTTTCAGCAGGGTTGATCGTCTGCCCAAAGGAAAAAAATGAAGAATAAAGTACGGAGAGGCAGAATTCTAGCACAAGTCTTTGCAGTAGCAAACATGACAAAGGTAGAAGAAATGACATTGAAGTGCATGCAACGAAGAAATTGGAGCCAATTCAATGCAGTTGTCCCAAAAATAGTTGTGGAAGTCTCAAATGCTTAATGTTACCCTAAAGTTCTTCATAAGAGGCCTAATTGCAACCATTATGTAGTGCTTATGGGTTAGCTATAGCTAAATCTTACTTCCAAGAGATTCCTAAACTTAAAGGGAAAAGTAGTGCTACTAATTCTAACTGTGAGACAGTGTACCAATTTTGGTCAAGCTGTCAGTTTCTGAACCCATTTACCACAACTTAGATGATGATATGACTATACGAGTGATTATAGGGGAAAAAACACTTAGACAATGATATTGACCGCAAAATATATCTATCAAGATTAGTCCAAGTGAGTAGAAAATCAGCTGTAGTGAACGAAACCAGGTGGAGAACCAATTAAGAAAAAAAAGATCTGCATGCACCTTATAGCATGTTTAAGAGAGCTACGGTTGAACAAGTAAACTCCCAAGGGAAAGGTTTGATTTGTTTTTCATTATGAGGCAATCTAAGCAGATAATCAGAATCTGAAGGTCATATTTGAGTACCATGCAAAGGGAAACCTTAAGAAGCATCAGAATGAATGCTATAACAAGAAAAATGCACCAATGAAAGAGAACAACAGTATTCTTGAATGCCATCAGCAAGTCCAAAAAAATCTTGACTTAATACATTATTTAGCACAGTGTCTATTTCTGTTATAAGATGGCCCAACAGAGTTGAGAGATACAATGTGTTGTAATTTCTACAACATATTTGCAAATAAATAGTGTCTTTCAAATAAACAACTAATACTACAAGTACACAGACAATGAAGTAATGAAAATGAACGCAATTATGGTAACTAAATATTTGTGTACCAGAAGAGAGAAAATCATATGAAAACACTAATGATAGGATTACATATCCAAAATGTCTCACACACTTAAAATTGCTTGTTGTGATTACTGCTTCACATGGACTTGCTGGTAACACATTTAAAAAAAGAAGTGTACCTCCAGCCAAGCATAGGATCTTGTGAGTTCATATGTTGCAAAGCCACCATCACTGTTCTGAGACAAGGAAAATTGTTTTCTTAGATGCTGTGAGATCATCTCACTATACTAAGCATAAAGGTCCATAATTGCATTAAGAACATATACGATATTTCAGAAAAAATATCTCTTGATAATGTATGTCAATATGATATAAAGTACATTCCTTCTATGAGAGGTAACTTTCCAAATAAGTCTCAACTCAAGAACTTCCAAAACTTTAATGGATTTTGAATTAATTATGTTAATGTACCACAACATTAAAAAATGATCGCCACACCCCAGAATTTCTCTTCTATAATCTCTTGTTGCCTTCAGGGTGTATCAAGCTCTTAAAACTTATGCATCTAATTTCCTGTAGGCACTAATAGAAAAGGCTAACAAGTTCAGTATTTGTCAGGTCCCATGGAACCATCGACAAGAAATTCTTATGACTTCCAAGGATTTCTTGGTTACAAGATGCACTTCCAATTCCAGACAACTACGCATTCTTCAAAGAGTTCAAGAGTAATTGCATTTTTTCTAAATTTACTCAACTCAAACATCTCTAACCATAAACAGTGTTATATTCTTAGAAGCTTAATTGATTACAGATCCAAACCAAACCAGAATTTGAAGCAAGGATCAAGCAAGTTAA